CTGCCCCCCAAGGCACACTCTTGAGGTGCATGTCCTTCCACACGCAGCTACATCTTGAGCCCAGGAGCCCATGGAGAGCCTTTTTACATCTGTATCAAGACAGAAGCCCCTTCCCAGAAACTGATTGTGGACAGTCCTCCAGGCCTCTGTGACCTTCCAACCAGGACAATGTACTCTAATTTCAACTCAAGGCACTTTTGAGGACCACTAGGAGACGTCTGTGAAGAAAGAAAAATCCACCTTCTTCTGAAGGAGAGAGAAAGAACAAGGACTTACACTGATTTCAAAAGTGACACTAGTTACCCACCTGTTTCCCAAAGTCATAAAACGCCACATTGCTCTCTTCCATACATTCTGGCCATATCTAAAGACCAAAGATGAGAATGCCACTGCATTTGGGCAACCAGAGTAATCAGAGAGAATCCACATGTTTAGATTTTAACATGCTGAAGAGAATCAGAACCAATAGTCTTCCCTTTTATAATTTTTAACAGCCCTCCTTTCTGCAGAATCAACAGCATTTTAAGCTAACATCGTAAGTGCTATAATCTTGAAGCAGAAAATCAAGCTGGCACACAAGACTTAAGAAAAGCTCCATATCAGTTGGCAGTTGCCATACATCACAGCATGGTCTGGCATAGGACTCTGTCCCTGACAGAAACCTCAAGATGTTTCCAGGACAGGCTAATATCATCAGCCTGTTAGATCGATCACAGGTAAATCTAAACCAATTTGTAATCTCATATAAACTTATGTGGGACAGAAGAGGCTCCCCACATCTTTTCTTACCAGCTCAGAACACTGCCCTCTCAGGCCTCTTCTGAAGTCATCTTTCCACCTTTGAGAGCAGTGTGTAGTGGCATTGTGAGTTTAAAAGTGCTGTCACTTAGGGGCACCTGGGTGGCTCAGTGGTTGAGTGTCTGCCTTTGGCTCAGGTTGTGATCCCGGGGTCCTGGGATCAAGTCCCACCTCGGGCTCCCTGCGGGGAAGCTCACACCTCCCTCTGTGTCTCTGCCTCTGTGTGTGTATGTCTCTCATGAATAAATAAATAAAATTAAAAAAAAAAAAAAAGTAGAAACAGCACCATCACTTAAACTCTGGGTAAGTCCCTAACCTTAGGGCAGTCACCTCAAATGAAGTCAGTAGAAACAAAAACATCTTGTCCTCTCCTGGCCACAGAAGGCACCCACCTACTATCATAATGCTGTTGGCTTCTGCTCTGCAGGAAGGGGAGATGGGCTACTTGCTCCACCTCCCTTACCAAGCTGCTGGGGGGAAGCAGGAGACCCTGGTGAAATACTGCAAAGTCATGTAAAGTATATATCTTTCTGTCGAGTTCTGTCAGAATTTTATTATTTTAAGAAGTTCACACAACACATCTTGCATTAAAAGAAAAAGCTTTTAGAACAATTCATGTTAGAATCTGAACCCCGGATTTGGAAGGGGCTTTATGGGTGTATACATGGTTCCCAGTCTCACTTTGTAGACAAGGACCCTGCAGCCCAGAGAAGCTAAGTGACATCTTAATCTTCAAATTCCTAGGTGGGAAAATTACTGTGTGTGTGCCTCTCTGTAGAGGCCCTTGGTCTCTGACCATCTCCCCTTGGCGCCTGATATCTGCATAACTGTGAGAAAGAGTTTCCGAAGTTTCCTGCTGGAAAGCCTGACCACCAGGAGGCCTTTACACAGATGCCTTGGGTAAGTTCAAGTCGCTTTCCACCCCCCCCTCCCCCCCCACCACCCCGCCCAGTGTCCTCTCTGGCCTCTCTCTGCTCTGATTACAGAGATGCTCACCTGCTTTGAGCAAGGCCTGCCTTGTGTCATTATTCACCTTGTTATGGTGATACAGTACCCACTCTACTGTCTGTCAGACCTATTCTCAGATGCTGGACTAACATCTGTGTTCTTCACGGTTCTAGAGAGTTCTGAATTAGAATATTCAGCACAGACTGAACTTCAGCGCATATAGCAGTCACACAGGCTTCACAGGCCCAAGAAGGATTCTAGGGTTCAGTCAGTTTAACCAGACTCTAAAGTACCTAATGCTTCTGCTCTAGAAAAAGAAACAAACCATACTCACTGAAGCCCACATTCTGGTCAGGAAGACTCCTATGAAACAATGAGTGTTCTACAGACACAGACGAGAACCTAATCACCTGCCGAAGAGACCGTGTTTAGGTGGACGGACTCCAATCTCTAGGCAGAAGGAAGATACAGCCCCCAACTCTGTGCACCAAGATTAAGCTGGGACAAATGCGCACACTACACTTCAGAGATTTTCAACACCCTGGCTGACATATGCCACAAGGAGAGTAAGGCTTAGGTTGTTCTGAAAAAACTGTTAGTTGCTTTTTGAAACCGAGTATAGAGGATTTGCTTTATTACTGAGTTGACAAAATTATTAACTCAGAGCCTGCTGTTGTAGAAATTCAAATACTCCAGAGGCTAGAATTGAGAACATAAAGACAACTTTCCTCTTAAGGACTCATTTGTCAAGGAGATGGTCAGTTACTTTGTTACTTCACTAACTTCTCAGATACTTGTGGGTATTAGGTCAGCTGCCTGACATTGATTTTTTAAGCAAAAGCTAAGTTTGTTAACCATAATTGCATGCCCATAAAGGTAAGCATTATATGACACAATTCTCTCAGAAGAGGTTTAATTTTAGTGTTGGCTCTTCAACACTGTCCCCATTTTTTTTTTCCATGAGTATCTTAAATATGTGTCAACTAACTATCCCAAAGTGGAGTTCATAATTGGGCAAGGTAGAGAAAAGCAGCTGTGCGCCAGCAATGCTTTCTTGTAGTTACCTCACTCTCACCTGAGCCCAGGTCAATCCAGAGAAACTGCAAAATTATGGTCGCACCATCTCTGCCGGTAACCTATTCTGCCACGGCTCCAGTTTCTCAGTGGAGTTTGCTCGAAGCCACACTCCTGTCAAAAGGTTCTGACGAGGCTCATGGATGGTCACTAGCAATGGCAGCATTTAAAGAGGCACTTTCCTCATCGCTCATATTCAGAGACGTGTTTCCCAATTCCACTCACCACACTTTTATTAGCAGAACTCTATGCACACCCATCGGTAGAGTCCCTCAAAACAAACCATATGAAATGTGAACTACATGCCATTAAAACCATGGGCTTCTATGAATGTATCATCTCTGCACTCACTAAAATACAAAAAAACTGAGATTTGTTTTCTTCTCTCTCTTCTGGCTAACCTTCCTTCCTCCTCTCTCCCTAGGAACCTTTTAGATTACAGCCTTACAGAACACTGGAACCCCTGAGGTCACTGCTCCACCTAATCTACAACATCGTGACCGCCTGTCAAAGCGCCTCCTGATCCCAAAGCTCTCCTAGGTGGCATTAAGATCAGTGCTAATATCTCAGCAACCTCTCAGACTCTCCTGAAGGCAAACAAGCACATGGAATTCAAGAAATTACACTCTGGATAAAAGATGCAAAAAGTCACCAAGGTTACGTTTCTCGTGTCACTTGTTTTGTCCTCTAATATTTCAATCTTGGAAACTGCAGCAGCACCAGGTACTGCAAAAAATTCTAGAAGGTTTTATATAGCTTGTGCCTACTCCACCCCCAAAGTCATAACAAAAATGTATACGACATTTGTTAAAGACAATTACCACCAAGTTGATCTTATTGGGGCCTGAAGAGGATTACTTATGATACAAAAACCAGCGTCTTAAGAAGATCATAACTTCTCAATTTTTACCAAAATTATACAATCCAAGGCGAATAACTCTAAAAATACCAACCTAAAACATAGTGTTAAGAGTAATTAGTCAAACTCATGTAAGGAAAAACAAAAACCCTACAGAAAGAGAAACCTGAGTTACCTAGCCCAAGATAATATTTTTTCCTTCGATCTCCAGCATATTAAAAAGTGATCTTAATGGCCACTTCCTGGTCTCCCAGCAAATGCAGGGGCTCGCTTCATACCTGGATACCACAACATCTTCCTATTGCTCAACCTGCTCCTGCCACAGGGGAAAATAACCCCTACTGCCAACAATCCTTTGGAGAAAATATGAGAACACTAGGAGTCTTCCCCTACACACACGAAGGGGGGCAGAGGAGATCCCTTTGCAAACAGTAGCCTGGGTGGACCTGGACCTCCGTCTGAGAAAGCCACACTCTGGGGTTAACCCTGACCGTCTAGGTGACAAACCACCAAGCTGGAACACTCAGGTGAGGGGAAGGGATAGACGAAGGAGGGCTCTTGAACAAACAGGAGAGAAAATAATCACCTCTAATTCACACCAAGAAGCGGGGCTCTGGCTCGGTTATAGACGCAATGGGCATTTAGGCCCAGAAAGGTAATAGGAAGAATCCCACCGTCCCCGAGATCATCTACCGTCAGCAGCGTTCCCAGGAGGGATCGGGCAAAGGCATGTCCACCGGCAGAACCAAGGGGGGACTCTCCACGCGCCCTGGGCAACCGGCTAAGGGCAAAGTAGGCTGGGGGTTCCCTCTGAAGCCAGGAAGGTGCTTCCAGCCGGGAGAAGAGGGAAGGAGGACTTCCCTGATCACCCAAAAGGCCGAAACACAGGCGGCATAGGCTCCCGAGTCATTCCCCGGACACCAGTTGCTCCACAGCCTTTCTCCTTCCCCTCCCCCCACGCCGGGAGGACTTCCCGGGGGTCGCGGGTCCCCGGGGAAGGGCGACGTGGGTGAGCTCCGTCAGGAGCAGCAGGGGTCGTAGAGCTGGAGCGAGAAAGAAGGGAAAGCTCTGGCCTCAGCTCCCGTCTGCTCCGTCCGCCCAGGCCGCACGGAAGCCTCGGCCTCACGTACCGAGCGCCGCCAGACTGCCCGACCTGCCCCCGGCTCGGGCCCGTGGGGCGAGAGACCGGGATGGCAGCGGCCCTCGGGGGTAGGTGGGCGTCGGGCGGGTTCCCCGGAGCCCAGCGGGCGAGGGGCACTGGGGAGGGGGAGGGTCCCGGGCCCACGCGGCCTCCGTCCCGGCCCGCGCAGCGGGTACTTACGTTGCTCTGGGGGTCGATGGCCTGCAGCAGCCGGTCCCTGATCTGCTGCGGAGACGCCGGAGCCGCTGTCATTGCCTGGGCGAGGCGGGGGGGAGCGGCCGGGCCAGCGGGCGGGCGGGCTGAGGCGGGGGACGGGGGTCACTCACTCGCCGGCCTCCGGGAGCGGAGCCTCATGTTCCCCGCGGCGCCGGGGGAGGAGGGGGCGCGCGGGGTGGCGGAGAGGGGAGCCGGGGCTCGGGCCCGGGGCGCCACCGCCACCAGAGGAGGAGGAGGAGCCACCGGAGCCGCCGCCGCTGCTGCCGCCGCCTCGAGAACCAAACTCCAGTGAGCTGCCCCCGCGCGGAGCACTCTGGGTAACCCGCGCCGCACGCAGCGTCGGCGCCACGCTGAGGAGGTTGGGAGATAGGGCGGGCGGAGACGCCGGGCCTGGGCGGGGCTGCGCGCGAGCCCCGCCCCGGGCCCACACGCATGCGCGCGCAGGCGCACTGGACCGCCGCCCCGCCCCGCCCACCGCCCGGCCGAGGGAGCCGTTGGGAGGCGGTTGGGCGGGGCAACGGCCGCCGCCTGGAGGCCCCGCCCCCGGCCGGGCCGTGGGGATCTGAGGTTTCCGACGGAAACGCGCGGAGCGCGCCGAGTCCTTGAACCTGGGCGCCCCGGGCGGCCGCCTCAGAGGGGGGCAGCGGAAGGACTCCTCATTGGGGAGAAAAGCTTTCCCCACCGACGGAGGTGACGGGAGCCGCGGGCGGGGGAGGCTGCCACGTTTTCCGAGCCGGGGGTCCTGGGCCCCGAGGGCGAGGGCGAGGGCGACAGGTCCACGTTGTGACAGCGCGCGCGGCAGGGTCATCGCCCCCCCCCCCCCCCCCGCCGAGGGCGGAGGTCTGCGGCGCTGGGCGTGCTGGGATCACGGAAAGGGGCCGCCCAGCGCCTCCGGGGGGAGGCGGAGCCGTCACGCCAGCTCGGGAAACCCCGCGGCCCCCGCCAGCCCAGGGAGCCCACCGACCCCGAGGTTGCAAGCCCGAGTCTCTGCCAGGGTCGCTCATCCTGGGCACCGATGACGTGGGTGGGCGGACCCCGGCCGCAGGGGCCGTCCTGCGCATTTTAGGGTACTCCGCATCCTGGGGCTCTACCCATTCAACGCCGGTAGCGCTCTCCGGTCCGGTCAGCCAGAAATGTCTAGTCATCGCCAGGCGTCCCCTGGCCGGCAGCGCGGCCCCGGTGGAGAACCCTGCTGGGCGGAGGGTGCTGAGAAACGGAAACCCTCATTCTCTGAACAAGACATTTCACAAGGGAGGAAACTGAGGCCCAAGGTCACCCAGAGTGCTAGGTCAAACCCAGAATTATTCAATGTCAAGTCTAAGCAGAGTCTCCTTCCCCACCCCCACCTCGCTGCCTTCTTGCACTGCGCCGTGCTCGCTCGCTGGAAGCCCCGATACTGTTATGGGGCAAGAAGGCAGGCTGAGTGGGTTATTAGCCGCAGCCTCCGGAGAGAGAACTTTTTTGTTGTTGTTGTTACTGGAAGACCTAGATTTAAAACAGGAGAGAGGCAGCTGATGAGAACCACACGCGCGCCTCGGATCTGCGCTACACCTGTTAGTCTTGCATTTGTCATGCTTCTGGGAAGCATTTTTATTTGCAAAAACGGCTGTTTCTGCACGTGGTTGTGGCTGCTTCCTTCTGCACATGTGAAAAGTTTTACATCACACTTGTAGAAGAAAATAAACACGGGCAAAATACTTCCCTTTAATTTCCTCTCCCTCGTAGAAATGAGGTGATTTGTGTACACGGTCCAGGTTGGAAACCAGCCCATTTGGAGATACTCTTTATCGCACTTAAGATAAGCAAAATCAACAAGCTCTTCCCCCAAGCATATTCTGGTTCTGCTTTTCTTTTAATTTCTAACTCAGACGTACAAGATCTTATTTTTTTTTTTAATCAAGGATCACATAGAAGCAATTTGTTCTGCATGGGTCATGTTATTTAAGAAAAATGTGGAAAGCACTCAACTTACCTGCTTTTTTTAAACATTAAGATGACAGTTCTGCATGGCCAGCTCTAAACACACACCAAGACATAGGTACACAGTTCAGCTCCACAGATGTGGCATATAGAGGGGCTCCATAAATATTTAACAAATGAAGGCAATATTAAATACTGTACACATTAGGATGCACAGACACACATATATATGTATATAGTTTTATTCCACATTGAACATAGATGTAGTGGTTAAAAATCAGATCACCACTCAATGCGAGTCTTGAAAATGTTAGCTTCTCAGGGCCCCCTGGGTGGCTCAGCAGTTTAGAGTCCTGGGATCGAGTCCTGCATCGGGCTACCTGCATGGAGCCTGCTTCTCCCTCTGCCTATGTCTCTGCCTCTCTTTCCCTATCTCTCATGAATAAACAAAATCTTTTAAAAAAGAAAATGTTAGCTTCTCTTAGGTCCAGGACAGATACTGCAGTTCACCTAGCAAGACTTCCTGCTTCAAGGAAGAGATACTTGAAATGACTTCTGTTACACAAAGGTGGGGCTAGGGACGCCTGCCTTCAGCCCAGGGTGTGATCCTGCAGTCCCAGGATCGAGTCCCATATCGGGCTCCCTGCATGGAGCCTGCTTCTCCTCCCTCTGCCTGTGTCTCTGCCTCTTTCTCTCTGTCTCTCTCATGAATAAAATCTTAAAAAAAAAAAAGAAAAAGAAAAAGAAAAAACAAAGGTGGAGCTCAAGGTAAATCCTCTTGTATGGTTCTTCCATTACAACACTGTGGTCCAGAGAACATCTATCCTGCCCCCATCCTGAGAACACAAGATATTTTGTGCTTGTGATGCCCCTGAAAAGGAGCATCACACCTGCTAGTGAGGTGGCCCACAAAAAGGTAAGAGGCTCTGAGTCCATGACTTGACTTTTGCCATGGGAAGTGGCAGGAAGGTGGTTTTAGGAGCCTGGGTGCAGAGCATCCTTAGCCAAGCTTGGCAGTGAGGGAGGCAGCTCCTTCTCCCTCAATGAACTTCAGTGGCTCAAGCCAGATGGACAGGCAAGGACATCAAAGAAGGAAGCTGTGAGCAGGTCAGCTCCCACAACTGCTCAGGACCAGTCTTCAACAGCGACACCACATGGTGGCAGGGACTTGCCAGGTGGACTCATTCATTCAGAAAGGAAAGGCCACTGTGCCCCCTTAGACACCTACACCCCCGGGGAGTTGGGCAATTCAAAGGCGAGGTGATTGGACTTATCCCAATAAAGTATGTGAGGGCTTTGATGATTAATAGGAAAAATGAATACGAGCAAACCACTACTCCACTTTGACCAATTTGTTTACTCTGAATTTAACATCTGGTGGGAAATTTTTGAAAACACTCATATATTTACTCATTCAACCTTTTCGATGGTCTCAGAAGTACCGAGAGATGGGCTTCAGAGTCCTGCTTGGCTTTGCAGCAAGTCCTATTTTTTCTAAAAGTGAAAAAAATTTCAATTGGTTTTGAATAGTCCCCATATCACTGCTTTTAGGAACGGCTCCAAAGACAGACCAGAGAACTTCAAATAATTTTACTGTGTCTTCAAGTAGGGGGGATAGGTCACAAAGGCATATTAAGAGGCACAAAGCCTGCTCCTGAGAATCTAGTTTTGAAGCCAAGCACTGGAAATAGGTTGGGGGCCCAGTATATTGTTTGAGCAGGACCGGAACACCATAGAGGACAAAGCCACTCTGGAGACAGAAGGACTAAGAAAGATGTTTGACAGCATTTTGACTGACATCATTTCCATATGTTCATACCCTTTGCCCCAGTATTTCACAACTTCTAGAAATGTATCCAAAGCAAGCAATCAGATCCAGACAAATGTGTGCATACTGGCAAGTTGACAGCGGCATCATTTACAAGGGCAAACGATTGGAAACAACCCGAGTGTTCAGTAAAAGGTGAGGATGTAAATAAATTAGGGGTCGACTCATACAAACAGGAAGGTTATGGACAGGAAGGGACCACAGGATTCTATAATTCCACCTGGGTAGTGGTCTTATGGGTGTATGCAACATGTAGAAATTCACAAAGCTGGACATTATACTTCAAAAATACGTAAAAAGATTTAGACAGCCAGATGACAGATAATCTCAGGTACTGAAATCAGTATTGAACAACATGGAATGCTCCCAACTTCATATTACATGTTAAAATGCAGTATATAATCCATATATACATTACAATCTTAATTTTGGTTTTATTAAATCTATACTTCATGCACCCAATGCACAGAAAAAATACTGGAAGGAAAGAAGCCAAAATTTTTATAGTAGTTATCTCTGACAGGAAGGATAACAGGTGATTTTTCTTCTGATACTTGTCCCTGAAGTTTCACATTTTCTAGAGTGAACATGGAGTGCCTCCTCCTCACCTCATCCAGTGCTTGGGTTATTCTGACCTCTAGTAGCCTTTAGTTATCATCTTCTGATTTGGATACTGCTAATCTGAAGCATACCCATAATCTCCAAAATCCTGAACATGGATTTGCCTATGATGGATGTCCATCTAAATCCTAATAGTCTATGTTTTGCCTACTGCCCTGGTTTTGTATTATTCTTAGTAAAAAAGAAAATAACATTAAGTACCTACCATGTGTCAGGTTGCACACTGAGGGCTTTACCTGACGACCAAGATGAACCCCACTGGGCAGTCAGACCCTTGTGTTAGCCTCTCCCCTTGACTCTGGGGGAAGGGGCCTACAATTTGCTTTAGAGGATGCAGGAGAACCATGCCCTACCTGGTCCAGGTTGAAGCTTTAAGAAGGCCTAGCAGTTAACACCCAACCCAGCAAATCCACCCCTATCAATCTCGCCAAGAAAACTGAAAACCTACACTCATAGATTTATACAGGTTTAAGTCCCCAGCAGGACTATTGATAGGTGCAAAGTACAAACACCAAATGTCCATCAACTGGTGAACAGATTGATGAAATGTATGTCCATAAGCTGGAATATTAGCCATAAAAAGGCACGAGAAGAAATGAAAAAGAGGCAGCAGCAGCTGGGTAGCATCTACCTTTGCAGATCTGGGAACACAGAGCTGCCACATCAGAATATAGGGACTCAACCAGAGGTAGTGGCCCAAGGCCTCTGTGAAGAACAAGGTTCCCAGTGAGAGACAACACTGACCCCCACATGCCTTATCCTAGCAGGCTGGGACACCCTAGGCGAGGTGCCAGGCGTGTGATCTGAGAAGCCCTCGGAGCCCAGAGCCCCACTGTGCCCCATCCTATTTCCTGCACACAGAACTGTGACTCAATAATAGAGGGTTTAAGC